ATTATCAACAAAAAAATGTCAGTGCCCCTCAATGGTCAGATACTAACCACTAGAACTTAATGGGTTTTTGCCACCATTAATTTTTAGCTCTGCATCTGCTGTACATATTTAGATATGTATATATGCATACCTGATTAAAGATGCCTGTTTATTTTTATTTTTATGTAAATCAAACATTTTCACTTTTTATTTTCTAAATATTTTTAATACCAATTAGTAACCTTATTAAGTATTTGCACTAATATGTTTTTCATTTTCCAATTATGTAAATTGATTAAAGTATGTTTTTAGGCCTCTGTTAAATGGATCTGATGTAATTTGGTAAGATGTTGGGGTACCCAATTAAACTCAAGTATTTGAAAATGAAAAATAATTTAAAAGATTAAATGTGAAATGAGAAGAAGTTTCTCGTTTATGACAAAGTCACTAAAGTAAAGGAGTTAGTTTTTTCACATTATATCTCTCAATACAATTAGCTCAAAATATTACACCCTCACAACAAATAAATTTCCAAAAGCACAAATGAACATAATTACTTTAAAATATTAAAGAATTAGATGTACATCCACAGGGTCCCAAAAAGTGTTCTGTTTCAATTCTAAATAAAACCAGTAACAAATATTTTTATTTCTTGCTTTTAAAGTTCATATGTCGTGCTGTGTTGTAGACTACAGAGTTCATAATTCTTCCCATGATTCATGGCATGCACACGTTTTACTGGCATCACGACAGCACAACTTGCAAGATTAAGCATCCCTTATGTGATGTCATTTTAGTGTCTACTGATTGACTGACAGACACCATACTTGTATAATGGTACGAGGGGTTAAAACAGGTGACCCCTCCAGGTGGCCTTTTGCTCCCTTTCAGGGAAATTACAACTAAGCTTGAAAAATGAGCCAACACCATTTTTGTCATACTTAGTCAAACATACACAATGTCAAAAAGTAATAGCACCATGAACAGGTTCAGAATTTACAATGCTAATTTTTTTCTTTAGAATTAATAAAAGATACTTGGTAGTTTAATGATCTTAATCAAAAGTTTAAATGGAAACATCTCTGTTTAGTAGTGATGTGACAATGCTTGTGTAACATAATAGAATAATTTGTTAAATTGGTCATACGTAGCGTCATTCAGATTCTAAACTGAACGAAGCATTTGATAATTTTTGAAAAATATATTCTATAACAAAGTAACCCTAAATTTCATTAAGAAGTATTTCATTACCTCCAACATATCATTTATACACATAAATTATAATTTCTGTCACTGTTTACTTACAAAGTTACCAAACACAAAGAACCTATAGAAATATGGGCACTTTTTTAATTACAGACACATCTATTTATAATCATTAAATGCAAAAATCATACTGAGCTGCCCCATTTTTTTTTTGTGCTTATATCTAACGTGTAGTCGACAATTAATGTGAACACAAGTGCTAAACATTGTTGGTGCATTCTAGACATTTTCACTGCAAAATTCATCCTATGAAAAAAATTTTGGATTTCCTTCATTAAGATATCTCTTTTAAAAAAAAAAGATAATTTGTACTACTAAAGCTTAATGAGTTCCATAACATAATTGCTCAACCTTCTCTTTCTCCATACTGTGGAGCCTACTAACTAGAAGTTACGTTTTTACTGCATACTGTGTTTGATATTTGCACCTACAAAACCACACGTATGCCTGCTGTCGAATTCTAATGTAAGAATTAAATTATTAAAACCAGTTGTAACAGATCGGCAACCCTTTTCCTCTTTATCAATAGTATTCACCATCTCTTACCAATTGCTTTGACACAGACTGCTCGAACTTTAGCATGCTGGTGACTAACTGTGCGTAGTAATGGTTTAATTAATGACTCTGATTGCATATGAAAATGCGCTGGTATTACTCGAGCCAACTGAGACGCACAGGTACAGCTTGCTTTCTTTACTTCGGGATACGGGTCTTCGATCGTTTGAACCAGAATTTTAATCATATCGTTCAAGTAACACGCCATCTTGACCTGAAGTTTTGATACCAAAAGTGTTAAAATTTGCACTTCTAATAACCTAACTTCTTCAGAAATTTCTACAAGTTCCTGTGTACCGAGTCTCTGGACAAAAGTTGGTACAAGGTAGGAAGAAATTTCCTCTGGATCTGAAGAGTTTTCTACAAAATGATAGAGTGCCTCTGCACTTAATTCACGAACTCGTTCAACTGGATCACAAACACATTTAAGAAAAGGCTTAAAAAGAACTGACACAAGTTTGTCATACTCTTCGACAGGCAGAGTTTTCCACTTCCCACTGATTTCTCTCTTAATACTTTCCATAGATCGCTTACGCACAATTTTATCTTCATCCTTCAAACAGCTCAAATATCGTGATATTGCTTGTAAAAGACATTCACACGAGTTTTCCACCTGTTTCGCCATTATAGATATAGCGTTGCTAGGTGATTGACAATGCCTCTCCCTGGTGAATTAAATAGGAAAGTTTATATATAACACATTTATAGGGGACGTCTATTCTTCCAAGTTATTTTTATTTAGCTCACAAGCTTTCAGTCACAGTTACAGCAACAGTATTTTAGTGTTTTAGCATACGAACTAACTGATAATCAATCAGTCATTTTTGTTTATTGTCAAAAACCATCAGTTTAATCATATCATTTGTAAACATATGAAATGATTAGTAAAGTTTTCAAGTTTAAATTACACATTTTTGATAAATTATGATAACAATTTTCATTAATAATTATTAGTAATACCTGTTATCTAAAAAGAAATATGTAAAAAAATATACCTCTAAGTCAAAGATGTTGTGAAGTTTTCATTAGAAATTTTATAAAGACTGGAGAGGTTTATTTTTGGTCCTCGTGCTAGGAAGAAAGACGAAGAATACTGATTTACGGCTCAGATTCGGACAAAAACAATAAAGTAGGATATACCACAATCCAATGATACATGTGTCGTCGACTGTCCCAAATACCATTTATATGGGAAGATAACTCGTCCCGTGATATGGGCTCTTCCTTCACCCTCTCCTTAGGATGTGAACACAGGCAGGGGGCCAAAGTGATACGAGTTTCTAGCCATTGACATATATGCAGCCTTTATCTTGGTAAGAGCATTGGCAACTGATTACGACATTTTGACGCTGGTTAACGAGGATATGAAATGCCATTAACGAGGATATGAAATGCCATAGCATACTTACACGAAAACTTAGAAATAATTACTTAATACATCCGACTAAAAATATTCTAACCTAATCATGGAATGATGAAATTATTAGATGTTCCAAGTGACAGTGTAGGGTGGAAAAATTCAACTTCAAATTTGATTATTGTACAGATCATAGTATGAAATTGAATTTTGTGTTTTTCGTTAAAGATGACTGAAAAAAGTAATCGTGCAGACCTAAATAAGCATCTTGCATGGTGGAAAATTTCTTCAAAATTAATAATCGTACAGGTACGATTATTTGGAACATAAGAGTAGCCAAATAAACTGCATATCTAAATATTATAATGACAACTAGATGGAGGCACCACTAACGTTGCGTAATAGTCTAAATAACAATGAATAAAACAATAGTATATAAAAAATAGAATTTTGGAAATTATTCTAACCTTCTGTCATTGTGAAACATTAAAAATGGCAGCTTCAATATTATGTATCAAACTGAGAAACTTTTAAAAGTACTACAGACGAAACAATTGCTACATGAATAAATCAAACTATTCTGTTTCTCTAACTTGTTTTCGCTTGTAATTGTTCTGTAGCCTCGAACGGTTAAATTGAGAAAAACTTGTATTCAAGAATAATATAAAATATATTTCACTCACAGAATTATTTGTCATGGATTTTTTTTTTCACTACAAATTTTAAACATATCTAAATCCCT